TGCTTCCAAATTTCTGTGACGCTATTTCGCTACAGTGAGTAACCACAAAATCAGAGGAATTCAGGGAATGTCTCTCCAGTGAAAAGTTCTCTTCATATCTAGCCAGAGGGATTTAAAATACACATCAAAGGGATTCATGCTAACAAAGGAAAAAGGCAGCAAGGACAAAGGAATCTTTCTGGTTTTGCCTCACATGTATTTTTTAGTGACCTGTTTTGTCACCAGGATGTGTCCACTGGAAGGTCAAATCTGTGTTCTCTTAGAATCCAGACTGTTTTGTCTTTCCATGTGGAATTGGGAGATTTTAGTAATGTGTGGCCAAATTATTTGCTTGGACCAAAGATGGGGATGAGATAATAGTTGTTGTAGGAGGGTTAGAAAGAGTTCTGGCCTCTTAAACTCCCAGAAATCCCAATTCAGTGTGAACAGCAGGTGGCAGAACCTTTCTGAACCTGGGGGTGCTGAACCAGATGGCTTCTTGCACATGAACCAGAATGGTTTCTTTCCAGCACTGACCTTGGAGAAACCTTTGGGAACCTCCTGACAGGATTTGTTTGAATTCTGTTGCAGGTGCCCACGACGAGCTGCGATCCCCTTCGGCCTGCCTGGTGGTTGGAAAGGTTGTCAAAGGAGGGACTGGCTTGTTTGACCTCAAGCAGCCCCTGACATAGAGTTCTGCTGGGAGCTCAAGGATCTGGTTGAAATGTTCATCATGAGGGCTGCACGTGCTCCACAGCTACGCAGTGAGGGCACGTGCTGTGTCTCCAGATGCCTTTCCTGTGCCAATAGGTTTCTTTATCTGGATACCCAATGAGCCTTATCTATTTAATGAGTACAGGAGCTATCTTTTGATCCAAAGAAACAGTTATTTAACAGTTCATCAATGTAAAAAATGAGGTTGTTTATATAGAAAAGAATAAAACGCAGGAGTTAGTCTGGGTCTCAGGCTGTGCAGCTGTTCTGGCAGGCAGAAGTGAAAGCAGAATCTGTTTATGCTGTCTGACTTCTGTGGGGCAGAATCCCATCAGGGTGGGTAGTGCCAGTTGCCACGTGGTCATTAACATGACAGATTTCCAGTACTGGAAATAGCATTCCAGATTGGCAGGTGGAGCTGGGCACTGCTGTGCTGAACCTCAACACTGCATTGTGCTCAAGGTATTTCCTCTCCTTTTGCTGCCCTTGGGTGCACTGACATGAACTTGTATAAACTTCAGAGGATGCATTTTCCTATTCTGCTGCTTCATTTATTAAGAAGAATGTGTCTATGACACAGTTCTTAAATTTCTTTTAGCTGAAGAGTGGAATTCAGAGTTTTCACAGTTTCTGTAGGCATTTTCCAATGCTCTTTTAACTTCTTTAGATAGACTAGATCTCACACAGTGAGAGATTTGATTTTTGCTAAAGATTTATTCCTTAAATGCCAACATGAGCTGCTGTAGGAGTGACTATGCGAAAGACTCCTGTAAGAATTACCAAAACAGAAATTTTAAACTATTTTTGCTTAAATAGTCTGTATCAAAGAGGATATTTAATAAAAGAAATTGTGAAGAAATATTCTGAATGCTGTATTACGTGGTTGTGTTACCAAGGGGAGTTCACTTTTGACTCTGCTGGCTGTTAAAATCATGTGACCCAGGGCTGTTTGCCACTCCTCAGAAATCAGACTCATTTATACATTCTATTTTAATTAGGATGCACTGCACAGAAGTAGCTAAAGCTCTTTGGAGTTTGCTCACTGCCATCTAGACAAGTTTTCTAACAGATCTCAGTGCCTGATTATTCTCACAGGTACCTCTGCACCAGTGGGAGTGCCGGAGCAGAGGAAGGCCACTTCCATGGGGTGCACTGAAGGGGATCAGATCAGACAGTGGGACATGTTGATTTGGGATTGTGAAAGAGCCTCTGTGGAGTCTCTGGGCTGACTCTGTTCTGCCTCAGCCCCTCAGAGCTGTGTCACATGTCGTGCCAATTCCACTGGAGCTTAACAAATGCGTGAACTCAGCGGGTGTCCGGTTTCACTTCGGAAATCCCTGTGAAAGATTTCCTTGTGTCTTTCTCCAGTCTTAGCACCTGCTTTGTACTTGTCAAAAACATCATTCAGCAGAGAATCATGAGAGACTGAGTTGGGTACAGTTCAGCAAACAGCTGGGAAAGAACAAACCTTGTACAAAAAGGCTTTTACTTCCAGGTTACATCTGTACTGCTACTGACTGTTTGTTGAGGGATCCACAAAACATGTTCACAGTCCTGCAGTGAAGAGCATCCTTGCCACATTTCCTGTCTGGAGATGTGGCATCCCTTGGTGCTCCAAACAGTTTGATCTAAATCATTCATTCATTCAAGTGAAGTGGTTACTCAGTGCTGCTCCCAGTAACACTGATGATTCTTTAGCTAGATCCATTTGGAAAATGGGCTCAGGCTATGGCAGGATGATCCAACTTTCCCTTTCAGTGTTGAGTTGCCTTTAAAATATTGGCATAGACCAGGATCCAAAACCTGATTTTGATTGTACTGAAAGAATTGGCCCTGCAGGAAAGTCTCAAACACAACATCTTAGCTAGAAAAAGGAAGTGGGTGGCTGTCCTTCTTCATGGACAAAAGTGATAGGGGAGAAACACGACCTCAGATGAGAGACCATATCTCCAAGGCTGGATAAGGTAGATATTTTGGCATATAAATGGGCTTATTTTATACTGTGAAGGAGAAGCAGCTGAGGTAGCAATTGCTCTTAATCCCTGGTGTGAGCAGATGGGCTTGGGGATCATCTCAACTGCCCTTTCTCAGAAAGGAATTCGGGTTTGTTTAGAATTCATCTATGTGCAGAAAACAGCTATAAAAAAGTTCTGCTTCATGTGGTTAGGAAACTTTACTTTCTTTTCACTTCCCATGAACATCTGTTGCATCTAGATCCTTTATTTTAAAGTGTCTGTTTTCCTCCTGGCACTCATTGCTCTCACTGTACAGTGCTTTTTGAGGAAGTGTGAACTGCCTACCCCCAAACACAGTGTGGAAAAAGGCTGCAGTAATGGCTGGGGTTCTTCCTGCTTTTTGTGATTATTTGCAACAGACAAATGAGAGTCACTTTTGGCATAAAGGACCCCAAAGAGTGAGCAGTAGATGTGATTTTTGTAGAGAGGAGGAGATCATGATTGAAAGGCTGGAAGAAGGGAACCATCCCTTCTCTTGGCTGTCTGCTGCACTTCAGGGTGCCAGGATATCCCAATGCTGTGAAAACACGGGAGGAACAAGGGAAGAAAAAGCAACTTGCAAATTTTCTCCCTTTCTTTTTGTCCATTAATAATAGTGGTCAATCTGTCTGAAAACTAATGGGTATGAGCTTGACTGAATGTGCACTCCAGGGATGGGCTGCTGAGTGTGTGAAGATATGGAAGCTGGGGAAGAGGAATTCTGAAAGCTGTAATTAGGAGAACTCGCAGTTACTCAGCCAGAAAGAGGAGGCAGTGATCCTCACCTGGTCCCACGTGCTTTGGCAAGCAGGGCATGAGCTGTGGGTTCTATCCTGCTTGTACAGATGTGTGTCCTATGAAGAGAGGCTGAGAGAGCTGGGACTGTTAGTCTGTAGAGGAGGTAGCTTTGGGAGACCTTATAGCAGCTTTCCAGTACTTGACAGAGGATATAAATAAGGGAGAGGGATGTTTGAGCAAATAGAGATGGGATAAGGGCACAGTTTTAAACTAAAAGAGATTTTCATTAAATGTAAGGGAGAAATTCCCCATGAAGGTAGTGAGACACTGGACCAGGCTGCCCCATCCCTGGAAATGCTCAAGGCCAGGCTGGATGGGGCTCTGAGCCACCTGGTCTAGGGGAAGGTGTCCCTGCCCATGGCAAAGGGCTGGAGTGACATGAGCTTTAGGGTTCCTCCCAACCCAAACCATTCTGTGGTTCACACCCACTTGCTGATGCAGATTTGTTACCTTCAAGACAGAGATAACAAATGTTTTCAGTGTCTTGGTAACAGTGAATCAGCTTCTATTTGCTCAGGAGTTGGAATGCAAGCTATCTTCAAGTCCAATTAATCATAATAGAAGGCTTGTTTTTCTCAGTAAATGATTAAAAACTCCTAAATTGGGCAATGAGAATGGATACAAATAGGAATTAGTTCTTCTTTCATCTCAAAAAGCAAAGCTAAATATTAGAAGCCAGGGAGCAGAAAAGTTTGTTTTCCCAGGTCACTGGTTCCCATGTTGCTGTGCTTGTGTAGGTCAGTAACCAGGCAGTGGCCACAACACAGTTCCCAGAGATCTTTAATCACCCGGAGCCTTCCTGGACAAACCACTCGATGCTTGCCAGGAAGTGCTGAAATCTGGAAGCAACCTCCTCTGCTGAGGAATTTGGCAAGTGGGAGAGCATGTGGCAGCTCAGGGACACTTCCCACAAGGTCAGACTGTGGTGACCAGGCCGTGCTCCAGGACGTGGCTGGCAGCAGGCGGATGAAGCCAGAACAAAAATCTTTCTCTGGGATTAGGTCAGATGGGAGAACTTGTGAGGACTGCCTTTGAGGGCTGAGATCCAAAAAGTGTTTTGAAGGTTTTGGAGCTGAAAGTGGCAGTCTTGATCTTTGGGGTGGATGTGAAGGGGTGGGCGAGAATGAGCTCTGCCTCCCACAGCTTCCTGCATGGCAACCAACTCCCTCAGCCAGAGGGGAACAGCAGGAACTTCGTGCCTCATCAGTCCCTGCTTTGCTTTGCATGGATGATGCTTCAACCTAAAGACCCCTGAGCTTTGCTTTGTTTTGTGGATAATACAATTAAAAGAGAGCAAAGGTGAGTTCTTTGACAGAGCACCCAGGGAAGAGACAGTGACCTGTGTCTGGTCATGCCTGTGAGCCCAGGCAGTCACTGAGGACACAGGAGCCCTGCTCTGGGCTCCCTGCAGTGCCCTGGGGGGCTTCAAACCCCCCTCCAGAGTGCACTAACCACCACTACAGTAAAATTTCTATTTTATTGCTCCAAAGCTCCTTGCTGCTGCTGGAAAGAACACGCTGTTCACAGGGACAAGGGCAGAAGGAGGTCAGCTCCATTCCCAGAGGAAGAGAGGGGAAGCTAGGGCTTTCTTGGAAGACCAGAGAAACCTTTCTTCTTGTGTTTGTGCAGCCTCATGCAGAAGGGCAGAAGGAAATCCTGCCTCAAAACACTATTGCAATTAGATGTTTTCCAGGATTTAAGGCATTTTCCTGTGATGAGCCAGAGAAACCTTTCTCCTTCTGTTTGTGCAGCCTCATGCAGAAGGGCAAAGTGAAATCCTCAAAACAGTATTGCAGTTAGGTCTTTTCCAGGATTTAAGGCATTTTCCTGTGATGAGAAAGACAGAGGTGGTAAGTCCTCAGGAATAAGAGAGTTATGAAGCCCTGTGAGCACTGTAACTCCCCTGTGAGGCAACCCCCCACCTCCTTCAGCACTGCCTTTCTGTATTAATTCTGATTTACTGAGCAGTACAGGTTTGAGGAGGCCTGAAGGTGCTCCCAGTGGGAATTGAACACCAGTACTGTGATACCCAGTCCTGGATGCTGAGCTCCACGGGGCTGCTCAGAGGGCTGTAGGGTGGGAAATGAAGGTACCCACAGAGCCCCGCTGGCTGCAAGGTCAAAGGGCAGCTGAGCAGCATTTTTCAGAATGCAAAATTGATTAGGGAAGAAGCATCATTAGAGCATCCTCCACAGAGGCCTGCCCTGATGAACTGAGCTGTCAGCCAGAGCCATCCCCAGTCTGCTCCTGCTCCTGCTCCTGTTACACTGGACTCTACACAGCCAGGGTTAAGCAAGCTGCTCATTAATGATGTTTTACAGTTTCCTGGCTTAGATCCCTCGACAGAGCTGACTGTCCAAACTGCCCTGGAAAAGTTCTAGGTCTGATCACAGAGATGGAGAGGATGTAGAGCTGTTCCTGTTTTCCTAGGTGCAGTGTGCCCTGCCAGCTTTGGGAAGATAAATGATCCCCCTCTGTGGAGCTGCTTTGGGTCTGGTGGGGCCCGTGGCTTGGTCTGTAGTAACACTCCTGCTGTTGTTTGGGTTTTGGAGCCCTGCCTGGCACTACAGACAGAATAATGAGTGATCAAGAAATAACAGTGGAACACTAATGCAAACTGCAATAAATACTGAGATGCATTATTAATGGGGCATTAAAACCAAAAGGGCAAGTAGAGCAAATTGTATGCTGGCAGCACAACAGCTCTGCAGAAAAATCCCAGGTCTGTCCCTTGAAAAAAAAAAAGAAATCAATGCTCTGTGCAACATTTTGATACAGGGTTTTTCTGCTTTCTGTTATACTGTATTTGTTCTGCCTGGCAGCCAGGGTTACTTGTGGAAGATGCAGAATTTGAGACGCATTTTAGCCCCAGTAGCCTCCTGAGTGTAAATAAGGCTACAAACCAGGGCAGTGCCCTCAGCCTGCCACGGAAATCAGAGCTCAGGAAGAAACTTTTGGCTTTGCCTCATGTTTTGGGGCTGGTCCAGAGCTCTGAGGAGGAAAGAGCTGCTGAAACAGCTCTTTTAAGGTGTGATGCTTCCACACCTCCAACCACCATGCTGCAGATCTGCTCAGTTATCTCTGGTACACCCAAATCAGGACAAACTCATCTTCCTCCAGCAGAGACAGATCATGCCCATGGATGTGCTTCAGCTGAACAGGCCAGCAGCAACTGGGTGGCACAAAGCATGTGGTGGGAGCACAGAGAGGATCTACCCTTCTACCTTCACCACAGGGCTCTCACTGACCCAACTCTGTCACCAAGTGGCTTCAGCTCTCTCTGTTGGCCCCTGGAAGCCAAGTCCTCCCCTGGCAGTGCTTTTAGAGTCTCCCTCTCTTAGCATTACCTTCCACTTGCAGAGGTTTCATAGGTGTGGCTTTGGCTTGGACAAACAGTTCTTGCAGCTCAATCTCCAGCCAGGTCAAACTTAACCATGTCCAGCTCAACTGCATTTCCCTGCTGTGTTCCTGGCACCCCAGTTTCCCAAAAGCCTCGCCCTTGCTTGGTGGTGATAATCCTTTCCAGAAGGCCATGACAGGGTTGCCACTCCTGTGATTCATGCTGGCCTGTCCAAGCTGCTGCTGGGGCTGCTGCTCTGGGCAGGGGGAGCGCGGTGCCCTGTGCTGCTGCCAGGGAGGGCACAGGTCACTGCTGCCTTCCCCTTGTGCTGCCCAAAAGCTTCCCCCTCTCTTATCAGCACAGAAACCTGTCCCTCCCTTCCTTTGTGTCAAATTCAAGGAACTGAAATTAGTTTGTTTTTTCTTTTTTTCTGTTTCCTGCCAACATCTGTCATACCAAACTGTTTCCACACTAAGCTATTTATGAGAATGAGTCCTCTCATTCATTTTGGGGATGAAATGGGAGACCTGCATGGAGAGTGAATGACTGATGGCACATGCACCTGGTCAGGCCATGGAGTGTAAAGCCAGGCTGGGATTTGTCCATTGCAGCTAATCCCAACATTACAGCCCTGGGGTCTGTGTTTCCCAGGACCCCTCTGACTGGGACTCTAAGTTGGTGGCTGGTTTAATTCCACACAGTCCAACAAAGCCATGTGAGGCAAATATTTTATCCTCCTGGGATTCATGGGTATTCTTTTAAAGGAAATGTTCAAAATGATTCATAGAATCATTTAGGTTGGACAAGACCTCCAAGTTCATTGAGTGCAACCCTTGACCTTTTCTATTTTTTCTCAGTTTAGATGATGCCTGTGGTGGTAAAAGTCTTTTATGTCATGTGGTGTTGGGGGAATTCTCTCAGAGTTTTAATTCCTTGAAAACATTTGGGATTGTTTTTTTTTAAAGAAATTTTGTACTGTGATGGTTACCATTAAGGACTTCACCATAAGAGCCCAGATCATTAAAGGCAGAAAACAAAGTAAACTCAAATATGTTACCTTTAATAAATATTATGGTATCAAGTAGGCTCAGAATATGAATATCTGACATCATTAACAATAAAAAGAAGAAAATACCTCATTTAATTAGTACTTAAGACCTTGGTAGATTGAAAGGGACAGGTGAATGAACAGAAGAACTCATGAGCTGAGTTTCTGATAGGCAAATCAGAAATCCTCTTTTCAATGGAAAGATGGAAGTCCAGATACTACAGGCTTTCAAAACACAAGAGCTCAAACCATCAAGTGGGTTTGTAGCCATGGGTGTATGAGGTAGACTGTCCTGAGCCACTTTTGTGGCCAACAACCTCCTGCTGACAGCTCTGACAAAGAGGTTTTGTCACCCATTGCCTTCCTAAGCCACCCCACCCTGTCACCACTCTTCTGGCTTGGTGGGAGCTGCCAGGCAGTGCCTTTCCCAGGTAAGGATTACCTTTTCCTGCTTGGAAAATCTGCTGCTAAAGATGTGAATAGCAAATGCTGGCTCATTGTGGTGAAGAAGGTCAATGTCCACCCTCTCCAAACTCCCCTGCACTGCTGGGTGAGCCTGGCTCCCACAGCCCTCAAAAAGTGGCCAGGCCTTTGTACCCAGTGTGAGATGAGAGAGTTAATTATTACTTTCTAGAACAAAACATGAGACCCAGAGGTGAAGTTTTACTGTCTGGGATAAATCAATACATGGAATTTACCTTGGTAACATCAGAGAGGGCTGATAGCCAGCACAGCTCTCCACAGCACCAGAGAGGGGTCAGCAAAGGCTGAGATGTCCTGAATTCCCAATGACCTTCAGTCCTCTGGCTCTGCACCTTCTTTAGTGTCCCTCTTGAAACATTTCTGGCTGCATCCCCATCCTTCCCACCACCTCTCAGGGGGTTAGCCATGACTCAGGCATCACCTCCAATGCCTGTCTCCCATTTCTGGGCTGTGAGTCAACACATGCTGAGGATATGATGTGCAGCTGATTGTCCTGCTGCTGATCTGGCCCTTGCTGCTTTTCATTAATTAAACCCCCAAACGTCCACTCCTTTGTCAGAGCTGTTTGAAATCACCTCCTAGGCCTAAAACATGCCAGGACAGGGGACAGGACAGGGCTTGCAGAGGCAAAAAAAAAGGAAACATGGGATGAAGATTTGGTACTGACTTAATCCAGAGCTTAAATGCCAGTTAGGGCATTTCAATGCTGAGTTAGAGCCCAGCATGGGTGGTGCTCAGCAGGGAGGAGGAAGGGAAAGCAGAAGGGCAGGAGAGTACCTTTCTCAGCAGAAGTGCAGAAAGGGCTTTCTGCTCCCATTTCCTCACTGCTGGTGTGGATCCTGATGCAAGGAGCTGTGTTAACCTTTATTCTTATAATATAAATATATATATTAGTTATTTATATGTATATTTGTACATTGTTCAAAAATATTCTTTCAGTTGTGCCTTAGGCAGGATTTCACCCTGCTAATCCCAGTTGCAGTGAGCAGAGGGTTGAGCAGAGCCAGCCCAAACCCACCACCTTGCTCTGCAAGCAGTGTGTGCCAACTGAGCAGAGCAAAGGGCAGCAGAGCAGAGCTGCTTCTTCTCTTCCCCTCTGTGGAGGTGTGTGCAGGACAGCAGTGCCCCAGTGCTGCTCACACCCTCACAGTGGCTGTGAGATGTCCCTATGTGCAGCAGGCTACCTTGGAGAGGGACTCCACATTTTTAAATAAAAACTACTCCTTCCCAGCAGAGCTCATGAAAAAGAATCCCAGAATCATGGGAAGATTTGGGTTGCAAGGGACCATTAAAGATTACCTAGTTCAAACCCCACAATAAGCAGGGATATTCTCAGCTAGGCCAGGTTGTTCAGAGCCCTGTCCCACCTGAATGTTGCATGTTTCTGAGGATAGGGCATCCACCCCCTTTCTTGGCAACCTGTGCCAGGGGTTTACCACCTTCATTGTAAAAAACTTCTTCCTTATACCTAATGCAAATTGACCCTCTTTTAGTTTAAAACAATTACCATTACCCCTATCAATGGGGACACTGCCAGTAGCTGATATTCAATTAAATATTGCATGCGCTGACAACAATTTACAAATGAGCAGGCAGATTTTGAAGCTCTTCTCACTTCTCAGGACCAGCCCCTAATTGCACAGAGCTTTGCAAGCACTTTGCTTTCTCTTCCTATTCCAACCTGTTTACTTGCTCCATCATGCTGTGCTCCCATGTTTTGCTCCAGGCAGCAGGTGGGAGAGATAGGAGGCAGATGAGAACTTCTCCAGGGACACTTTATGGTTGGGTTCTGTCAGGTCCCAGCTCTGAAACATCAGGCAGTTTGCACACAGGCTTAGGAATACAGTGAGGACAATGATGGGCTATTTGTAGTGCACCATGCTATTTTTAAAAGTCCTGCTCCTAAGTTGAGACACAAACCCTTTGTTATGGCTCTTAGAAGAGACACTGTGTTCTCGTGGATCCTTCCTCTTTTTAAAATTAATTATTTAAAAATTCTCAATGCGGTCCCTTTTTGTTAGCAAAAGCACAACAGATTATCTCCAAACTATGGTCTAAATGTATGTATGTGTGCTTATATATGTATGTCAATATACATATTTTTTAATGCATCACTTTAACTTTTCATGAAAGATTGAGATGCAAATAATATTCCTGAGGAAATCAGAATAGAAGTGTTGGACCCAGCAATCCAGCTTTAAACAAACTGTGCAGCTCTGAGCATGCATACAAATACAAATAAATGACTTCCCAGTAATGAAGAAGTTAATCACAGTGATTTCTTTGCAGAGCAATAACTCTATGCAAACAATCTTGAAATTTGCCTGAATACCTGTCAGCTCAATTGCTTTGACACTGTGTGCAACAGGACAGTTTAGTCATGGTGCCTTTGCAAGTCTGGGAATGAGCAGTTGTGGAGCACCTGAGACTGATTTCCTCATGGCACTGCACATGTGGATGCCTTTAAATCCAGTTTGACTATGGAGCAAAGGAGGAATTTCCTGGGATAATCTAATGCTGTGTCTTTTCTGGCTCTGCTAAGGATGGAAAACCAGAGCTTTCATTGGAAAAGACACATCTGAGTGATGGAAAGCTATGGAAAATGTGATTCATGATAAGGTTTACACATTGCAGCTGGAAAGTTTGGCTGAGTGTGGAGAACAAGTTGATCCAACCACCCAGAGAGGAGAGACAAAAATCACCTGGAGTATTTTTCCCAAACACTTATTTGGCTGAGAATTCAAAACCACCAGTTCTGGGGTAATGTTTAATTATTGACTATCTATAAGGAAAGGCTCCTTCTCTGGTGTATCTGCATTCAATGGAGAAACACACACCTGAAAAATCATGCAAAATTTGACCTGGGATATTCTGGCTTCCCTCCCCAGTTCCAGGTTTGATATGAAACGCCCAGCCCGAGGCAGATGGGTGCACCATGGCAACAACCTCTCACTTCCCCTGCAGCTCATTCATACTGTGGCCCAAGTGTCAGGTGAACGATTTCCCAAATTCCCATTCCTTACCCACACAGATTTTTTAACAGCTGCTGAGCACATGGAACTCGACCCTTGCTGTTTGAACATCCTCCATCCCAGCAGCAGCACCAGGGCTCTCACCCAGACACTGCAGGCTTTGCCTTTGGAGGACACTGGCAAGAAACAGCTTTACTCATATAAAATGAAACCATTTCACACTCAGCCACCATTAAACCAAGGAAATCCTTGCCACAAGATCTGTCAGTGATGAAAATTCTGAAGGGCTTTAAGAAGAGATTAGGCCAGTTCATAGAGGGCAGGGCCCTCAGGAGCTCTGGGGCCCACAGGCCTGGTCACCTCAGCCTCTGCTTCAGGAAATCCTTCCATCACTTATGGCCAAGGTCTGGGAAATAACAACAGAGAAAGGATCACCCTCTGCCTGCCCTGTTTTTTAGTGGTGCTGTTGGAAAGTTATACTGGGTTGTGGACCCAGGGTAGGTATTTTTCTGGGGTTGCCAGATGAAACCCTGTGCCTGAGCTGGTTGTGTGTGGCTGTTTGAAGCTGTGGCAAGGAGACATCAGGCTGATTTTATGGTGGCACTTTAAAATTGTTTGATGCTGGTTCAGGGCAATATAATTTCACCCAATACACACCAACAAGAGTTTCCTTTTATAACACTGCACACCATCATCTGCACACCAGTGGTGTCAGAGAGCAGCTCCTGCCACAACTTAACCAAGCCAAATGCAGTCCCTGTGCTTTGCACCACCACAAAAACCCCAAATCTTTTAAGTCATGAGGTTGCTTCAATATTTTCTTTATATTTTCTCAGTCTTTGGCCATTGACACTGACAGTGTTGAAACACAAGGAACTGTATCTTTGCTCAGTGGTTTTGCCTCCCAAGCTGCTACAGCTCTGGGGGAAGATGAGCTTTCAGAAGGATGTCTCTGTGCTGTTATGCACTGCCTTGGTCTCCCTTGCTGTTTCTGGGGAACATGACCATGCTAAAGACCCTTGTAGCCAGCCACGGGGTTTTCCTGGTTTTCTGAGCCTGGCCCTGTGATTTTGCCTTGCCCCAGGGTTCAGTGCAGCCTTCTATTTCACTGACTTCTTTGTCCAGACTGCTGGGTTGGGAGATAAGAACCCCAGAGTTTCTGCCCAGTGGTCCTCACAGCTTCTCTTTTCCATCACCTTCATCTCTTTTCTGGCAGGTTTAGCTACTCAGAAATGCCATTGCCATAGTTAGTCCTGGCTTGAGGCAGGTGGTGGAACAAATGGTCTCTCCCTTTCCTTCAGTCTTCACTATTATCCTTCCTATTTAGGTTTAATGGTTGGGGTGCTGGGTTATCCTTGCAGTGGAAAGCTGAATTTAGAGTAAGCACCATGTGATGGTCTTCCCTGCCTCTGGATCCACCACCATCCAGTGCAGTGCAGGTGATTCTGGAAGTGCTTTCCTCTCCATCCCCTCCTCAAAGGCCATAAGGCTGCTTTAGGCTTCAGGTCTGACCCTCACCAGGTGACTGTGCCATCAGGGTGTTGGCAGTGTACAAAGCAGGGTGGTTCTTGCTTCAGCAAGTGTCCTGGTGGAGCCAGCTGAGGGCTACAGAGTTACAGGCTGGTGCTAAGGCTGCTGACTCTGTGGCTGCTGGCAACACCTCTAGCAAGCTTCTCCTCAGAAACGAGGAGACCAAACCCAGCCAGGCTGGAGTCTAAGGCAGCATGGTGGAAAAAGCTGGTTTCAAATTCAGCTCATTAAATTCCCAGCACATATGTATGCTCCAGCACAGCTGGGCTTAACAAAACCATGAATTTAGACCATCTGATATCTGGCCATAAAAAATGATGAATTGATGACTGAATGAATTATTTTGCTCTTTCATCCTATCTGGACTCTGATCTACATTAACTAAACCAGTCAGTGCAACTTTTCTAAATTATTTTCAAATTGACCTAATTAAAGTAGTAAGAATACATAATGGAGATGTACTTAACCCAATTTAACCCTTCCTTAAATCAATTACACTAGAATTCAGTAATTTGCAGGCAGAAGCTGAAACAATTTTAGAAAGATTTGGAACAGGTTAAGAAGCCTTGTAGTGCAGGTACATTGAACACCTCAGAGGAATGAGGAACACACTGGTGCAAACCACCCATGGCTATAGCTGCAAATATCACCTGAGCTTCCCATCTCAGTTAGTCCAGATTCAGCTCACCCCATTTCTTCTGCTGCTCTTTCTTTATCACTAAAGTGGTCTTAGCACTTTAATGAAGGGCTTGCTTTTCTCCCTGAAACGAGAGAAGGAGTGAAGGTTTATCAACTTTTTTATCATTTTAAGCAATGCTGCCATCCCTGACTAGTAGTTGGTGATGTTAAAGATAATCAGTGAAGTCAAAGTTATCATTACATGGCAGTGAGTGGGCTGGATGGGAGAGCGCCTTCCAAACCACCAAGACGTCGTTAATTAGGGTTTAATAAGTACATTTGCTGAGAGATGCATGTGACTTACAGAAGATTAGGTTGAAGGGATGGGGAAATCCTTGTTGTGTTGCTTGATCCTCTGGAAGTGGCAACTCCATCACTCATCACCTCCTTGTTCCTTTGATGAACTGAATTCTTTTCCAACTGGTCCATAAAGGCACCACCTCCAGCTCCCTCCTGGCCTTTGTCCAGCCAAGTATCAACTCTCTCTTCCAGAAATCAGGAAGCTAAACATAAACCCAAATTAGAGGGAGATGCAGAAAAGCAAGCAAGAAGAAGCCAAGCATGTGGAGATAAAGCCCCAGGAGAAAGAGAAACAGGCAATGAATGAGGAGGAGATGGGAACAGCCACTGGGCCACTCCATACAGATGCCAGACAAGTGTCTGCTGCTGCTCTGGG